GTTCTTGATCTGGAGAAACCTCATAAAGAGTTTGCACACTGAAATTCCCTGAGGGAGAGAGAGCAAGCTGTAATAAATTTAGTGACAGCTAATTTACTTGGAATTGATTTATCAGATTAAGTAGTGGAACAACCTTCTACATTGAGATCCAGGACTCCGTTTTAAAAAAGAACTTATGGAGGAAGACCCATCTTCGCTAGCCAAAGGTTTCTGATACGCTACTCTCCTCATAAGCTTATACTTTATCCTCATACTTTATGAGGATAGTAGCGTATCAGAAACCCTTGGCTAGCGAAGATGTGAGGAGAGTAGCGTATCAGAAACCCTTGGCTAGCGAAGATGTGAGGAGAGTAGCGTATCAGAAACCCTTGGCTAGCGAAGATGTGAGGAGAGTAGCGTATCAGAAACCCTTGGCTAGCGAAGATGTGAGGAGAGTAGTGTATCAGAAACCCTTGGCTAGCGAAGATGTGAGGAGAGTAGTGTATCAGAAACCCTTGGCTAGCGAAGATGAGGAAGACCAAAAACTTTAGCAAAATGTAAAATCTTGCAAAATTAATCATCCTGTAAAAATTGATTAAAATACTTCTCAAAACTATTTTTTAAAAAAGATTAATACCATTTTCAAATCAATGTAAAAAGAAAGTTGTGTGCAAAATTACATTTTGGTCTTAGTCATACATGTTTTTTTTTTTTTTTGTAAAACGGGGTCCAGAAACAATTGACAATGTGTACATGTATGTTTTACCTCACATCTCTAAGTCAATAGTCATACATTTATGTATTCAACAATTTTAAACGGAGACAGAATTACAGTGCTTCAGATAATGAAATATTTCAAATATGTCCACGTAGTATAATGTCAACAAGATACATCTATTTGAAAAAACTTTAGCAATATAGTTTGACCTTTCTCAGTTTTCTAGCTCCATAATCCAATGTTTGGTTTCATTCATCAATTGAAGTAGAAAGCCATGTATTTTTATGCCCCCGTATCGAAGATTCGGGGGTATATAGTTTTTGCCCTGTCCGTCCGTCTGTCTGTCTGTGGTCCGCAACCCTCATATTTGACCTTTTGACCTTGGAGTTTGACGAAGTTTTAAAAATTTTATCCAACTTTAACCTTAGCCATAACTTTTAAAAAAATTGGCGCTAGGGTTTTCGTACTTCACGTGTGTAATCCCTGAGACAAGACCTTTTTTTTGATACCAACAACTTTGACCCTTTGACCTTGACCTAGGAGTTTGACCTACTTTTGAAAAAACTTTTACATTGTCCATAACTTTTGAACAGTTGGCGCTAGGCTTTCATTCTTCACATGTGTATTACTTGACACAAGACCTTCCTTTGGATAAAAACAAATATAGCCCATTGACCTTGGAGTTTGACTTACTTTTAAAAAACTTTAACCTTGGCCATTACTTTTGAGAAATTGGTGCTAGGGCTATCATACTTCAGATATGTAATCCTTGTGACAAGACCCTTCTTTTGATACCAACTTTGACCCTTTGACCTTGGAGTTTGACCTACTGAGCTGTTGGTGCAAGGGCTTTCATATTTAACATGTCTCTTCCTTGTGACAAGACCTTCCTTTGGATACTAACAATTGTAATCCATTGACCTTGACCTTGGAATTTGACCTACTTTTGGAAAATTTTAACCTTGGCCATAACTTTTAAAATGATTAGTGCTACAGCTTTCATATTTCATATGTGTATTTCTTGTGAGAAGGCCTTTCCGTTGGCACCAATAAGTTTGACCATTTGTCCTTGATGTTTGACTTACTTTTGAAAAAAAGTTTAACCTTTTCCATATCTATTCAATGGTTGCTGCTGGGGCTTTCATATTTCACAGTTATATTCCTCGAGACAAGTCCTTACTTTGGATATCAACATATTTGATTTGCATTTGAGGAAGTTTAGCCTTTGCTATAAGTTGCCATACAAGTTGCATTTCACAAACACATCTTGTTTATATATATGAAGTTTTAATCAATAATCTAACTTTACCAATAATGGCCTCCACTTTTTTTCCAAGGGCTCAATGCATGCCATCAAAAATTGGAACAACTTGAGAGAAAATTTTAATAAATATGAAAGAGTTCATGTAGTTATCTGAAGAAAAATGTCCAATGGAACATTGTTTGAAACATGAAAATCTTTCATTTTTAACCTTGATTTTTAGCAGCTTGTCTTTATTTTACACTACATGCACCAAGCTGTATATATTCATTAAATATGTACCTGCAACAATAAAGAAGAAATGACAAGGCCGACGCAGAATTGTGAAAGATTTTATTCATCAGAACAGAGAATTGTTTGAATCAGAAATACAATGTACACTTGGAGTGTAACAAGATTAACATCTAAATGCCATGATGGATTCATGTTTGATAAACTTGGAGAAATAAATTTACTATATTACTGTAAATACATGTAATTGCATAAAAAATGTTGCCATTAATTAAAACCAGATCAGGGAACAAGAGAATCAGAGATGCGTCCAATGTGATAATCCTTCCACTAAGATCAATCAATATCCATTAATTCATTACATTGGTAACATCAATCTAGATTTCAGCCTTCATGTCAAGAAAGTGGAATTAAATGCAGCTTAACATGCCAATTCACTTGTCTTCACAACGTTGGAGAACACTGTACATCTAGACTTATCTTATCAATGATACAGAAATGCACTTGTAGATACTATGTCATATTGCATTAAAAAATGTGTATTTATTGTGAAAATGGCCTTTTTTCAAATAACTGTGCAAGTACTATGTAAATCACTTTGTCAGAGAGAAGAAACTGAACAAATCAAATTAAACATAAATTAGACAATAATTAATGTCATATTATGCTAACTTTCAAATGTCTTGCACCACAATGTATTCACAAACCAATAAATACACAAACAAACTTTTTAAATAAACAAGGCATGTTGCTCTAATTCACATAAATGTTAAATATGAAAAGAATAATTACAGTGTATCAATATTTTACCTAAATCCAACATGAGCACATAAAATAATTAAAAAAAGATCACTAGAAAACTGACACAGTCAGAGAGGGACCCACTAAGGGCTGTTACAGGAAAGTGACAAATGTACTTGGTACAGTAATATTTGGAACAAAATATAGCATTTAATATGGACACAGAACAATCATGCCTTTAGGTGTTAGAATTATAAATAATTAAATGCATACAGAGATATAAAACTAAATAATCACAGAATCAATAGGAGTTTTTTTTTATATCATAATCAATTCCAGCAGTATAAAATTTGAAATTGTTAGCAAGAAAATTGTCTAAATGTCACAGTTGTAATTAAATTATTGTTATTATGAAATATATGCTTTGCGCAATATTTAGTATCGTATTCCAATTGGCGCGCATAGCGAATCGAATACAACCGGTTTTGCAGGTATGTGAGAGCCATGTGCGAGTGTTTTGTTTTGTACAGGTGAATTTCTGTTTTTAGCATTTCTATACGTATGACTGACCAGTGACCTACCATGGACCAATGGATTTCACCATACTTATTTATATGCATTTTTTTACTAACTCATGCACTATATACATGTAAAGAAACCCCCCAAAATCCCTACCCCAAGCTTTTGTGCCTTTACGGTAACAGATAACATATTAGGTTATACCTCAGATCGATTCAATCGATGTATATTATTATTTCTGACTTTAATACTGGATTCCTGGTAAGACGTTCATTAATCTTGTAATTCATTTATGGTATTTGTTAAATATATGTAACGATGTTCTGCCAGTTGTATTAACATCTTAATGATCATTACTTTTCGTTAATGTTTAAATGTCTTTATGTTTCTTGTTTGTCTATGTCTTTTGTTTTGTATGAGTGTTGTGAGTGTGTTTTTCTATTTTTTAGGTTTTTTTTTTCTCTATATCCAAACCATGACCCTGTGACATAAGTTATCATGTCATCAAATCAGATGTATACATACAAATGTACAAACATACAGACACTTATACAACCCTAACATTTATAGTTGTCTTAAAGTATTTCTGTACAAAATTTGAAAATGCTGTGAATATTGAGTGATAGCCTCACAACAAAGTGTTGACAGACAGACCACAAACTTCATAGGGGTTTTTCTCTTATGGTTAACTCCTCCCATGTAAAATACCATCACTCATGATGTAAACTGTTTGAGTTATGGCATCAAGATGAATCTATCCTTACACATACATATAGACAGACAAAGCAATATGACCCAAAAATTTACAGGTGTCTTTCCCTTATTGTAAAGAATTCCTGTTCAAAATTGAAAAATGTGACACTGAAAACTGTTTTAGGTATTGCATTACAACAAAAATGTCATTCGATCTACATTTAGACAGACATATATCAATGTACATGTATGACCCCAAAATCTACAGATGTCTTCCTCTTACATGGACACGTATAGAAAAATATTTCTGTATAAAAATTTGAAAATGTTACATTGAATGCTATTTTAATTATTGCATCACAACAGAAGAGTTGATGAAAACATTCAAACATACATACAGGTACATACATACATATAAGGCAATATGACCCCAAGGGCCTCTTATAGTAAAGTACCCCTGTACAAAATTTCAAAACATTAAAATGAAAACCCGAGTTATTGTGTCACAATAGTTTTGTTGGACAGATAGATTGATAAATGGACAATGTAATTCCTATTGGGCTCTCACATTTGCAGGGCCTAATGAATATAAACACAATTATTGCCTGATCATATGTAATTCCCTGGGTAGGAAAACGATTTTTCATCTCTGTGTTTATACAGGATGTCTTATATAAATAAATAAATTCAGTTAATGTTTGTAATACACAATCAGGCAATATATTCTTATAATTCATCCTATATCATTTTTAACTAAAAAAAAATACATATGTTGAAAAACATTCATAAATTTAACATAATGAATAACACACACAAATAGGAAAGTAGCTAACCCCCCCCCCCCCTCCCCCAAAGGAAAAGAAAAACAATTAGTTGCTATAAAAAAATCAATGATATGAAGACAATTCACAGATAGAAGAAATTAGTCTGTCTTTAACTTCTGTTTCCTTTTTGATTTGATCCACTTGTAGGCTTTAAATAGTGATCCAAGAATTGGTAGACCAATCGGAAGAAAAAGAGGTATGTATATGGCAAACCTGTTAACAGAATTTTAGTTTATCATAATTGAATGCCAAGAAAAAAAATCCTTTGCAGTCTTACATGTACCCATGAAATAGAGATGACAATTCATTGTAATTCATAATGTTTGAATGACTTACTTTTGATCTTCTGGGAAGTACAATAATTCTAAGAGGGATGGATCGAAGAATGCTTTTTCTGAAATGAAATATTCTAAGAGTCTATATACAGAACCAGAAGTCTCTGATGAGACTGTAGCTCTACTGGTCTGTTTGTATAACAAAAGAAAAGTAGCACTTGGATTTGAAACATTGCAACATGCAACAATAGATAGAATTATGTATCTTAATGTAGTCTACTTCTCTGCCAAGTTATATTGAAATCAAATGAAAACTGTAGGAGGAGTAGCGTTTTGAAAGCATTTCACGGAAATTTCTATTTTTAGTAACCATGACAACACCATTCACTCAAGTAAAAAAACAGAAATACATATTATGTATCGTAGTGTATTCTAACTGTGTGCCAAATTAGATTGAAATCAGACCAAAATTGTAAGAGGAGTAACGTTTAATGGGAATTTCACAAAAATTTCTATTTTAAGTAACCATGGCAACACTGTTCATCGAATTCAAAAACCAATGCAATAAATTATGTCTCTTAGTATAGTCTTCTTGTATGCCTAATTATATTAGAAGCAGACTAAAACTGTGGCAGGAGTAGTCTTTTAAAGGAATTTCACAGAAATTTCTATTTTTAGTAACCATGGCAACACTGTCCATTGAATTCAAAAACCGATGCAATAAATTATGTATCTTAGTGTAGTCTACTTGTGTGCCAAGTTATACTGAAATCGGACTGAAACTGTAGGAGGAGTAGAGTTTTAAAGGAATTTCACAGAAATTTCTATTTTTAGTAACCATGGCAACACCGTCCATCAAAATCAAAAACTGATGCACTAAATTATGTATCTTAGTGTAGTCTACTTGTGTGCCAAGTTATATTGAAATCGGACTGAAACTGTAGGAGGAGTAGCGTTTTAAAGGAATTTCACAGAAATTTCTATCTTTAGTAACCATGGCAACACCATCCATCGAAATCAAAAACTGATGCACTAAATTATGTATCTTAGTGTAGTCTACTTGTGTGCCAAGTTATATTGAAATCGGACCAAAACTGTAGGAGGAGTAGCGTTTTGAAAAATTGTTTACAGACAGACAGACAGACGGACGGACGGACACCTTACTATTGCATAAGCTCTTCTGGTCTCTGACCAGTAGAGCTAAAAACACGCTTATAGCAAACAAGATTATGATAAATTCATGCTTAGAGCAAAGTGATTTTCATTCCCAGTGGTTTTAAAACATATTGTAAATGTCTACAGATATAGTGAATAATGTTTATAATGAATCAAAATTATCTGACCCTGACACTTTGCTGTATGTGTATTTTACAGTAAACAAGTAAAAAAGATAAAGAAAATAATTGATTATTCATAAAAATCTTGAACATATATCTCTAAACTTTCTTTCTGGGGTACAAATTTTTATTTAATTTAGAAATACACCAATCCATGTCGTTTTAAAAATAAACACTTATCCAAAACTTGGGTAAAAAAAATCACAATGGAACCTAATGGTGTAAGGATTCAAACTGTTTTTAAAAAAAAATTGTGGCCTTGGTAAAGTAAAAAATATTTTAAAAGTTGTGGTATAGACAAACACATCCTTTCCAAAAGGCACCAAAGGTATATTAAATTTTAAAATTTATTATCTTTGAAGTAGCACTTACCTGATGAGGCTAGAGCCTTCCGTGACTGTGTAAATGCCCTGGATATTTGACCACTGGTCAAGTATCTCTGAGCTTCTTTAATTCCAGTAACTGCATTCTCCACCTACAAATAACTACATGTGTAAACAATTTGGTATGTGAACCACCTACAAATAACTACATGTACATGTGTAAACAGTGTGGAATGTGAACCACCTAAAAATAACTGCATGTGTAAAGAGTGTGAAATGTGAACCACCTACAAATAACTACATGTGTAAATTGTGGAATGTGAACCACCTACAAATAACTACATGTGTAAATAGTGTGGAATGTGAACCACCTACAAATAACTACACCTGTAAACAGTGTGGAACATAAACCACCTACAAATAACTACATGTGTAAATTGTGGAACATAAACCACCTATCTACAGATAACTACATGTGTAAACTGTGGAATATTAACCACCTACAAATAACTACATGTGTAAACTGTGTGGAATGTGAACCATCTACAAATAACTACACATCTAAACAGTGTGGAATGTGAACATCCTACTACAAATAACTACACATTTAAACAGTGTGGAATGTGAACCCTCTACTACAAATAACTACACCTGTAAACACTGTGGAACGTAAACCATCTACAAATAACTACACATCTAAACAGTGTGGAATGTGAACCTCCTACTACAAATAACTACATGTGTTAACTGTGTGGAATGTGAACCACCTACAAATAACTACACTTGTAAACAGTGTGGAACATAAACCACCTACAAATAACTACATGTGTTAACTGTGTGGAATGTGAACCACCTACAAATAACTACACTTGTAAACAGTGTGGAATGTAAACCACCTACAAGTAAACTGTGGAATGTGAACCACCTACACACATGTGTAAACAGTGTGAAATGAGAAAATTCTGAGGAATACAATACTTGCTGTTGCTGTATCAATAAAAATGGCTTGAATATATGTCAGCAAATTTTGGAGACTTTCCAAGAACTGTTTAGAAATATCATCAAAAGCTGCCATACTGAGTGTTTGAGGTAAGTCTTAACTACTGAAATCAAACACAGTTTCCTAATTTTCATGGCTTCTTATACAAAGTTATAAGTATGAACTGAATACAAACAAAGCACAAGACAAACACTTTATCAAGGTATAAAGTTAAATTCATGTTGTCTTTGACAAGAGGAGCTTGCAACAACAAGGTGAGGGGAGGGAAGAGAAAAAATTGAATCATTAAATGCCAGAAAGCAATATTTGTTTTGTATCCTATACATGTATGTTTAGTAACTTCTAGATGCCCAGAAATACAAATAGGGACAAACTGACCTGTTGTCCTATAAACTGACCTGTTGTCCTATAACTGACCTGTTTTCTTATAAACTGACCTGTTGTCCAATATCATCCTGTATAACTATGTTACTGATGCCCTCTAACAAAGCGGTCAGAGACTGCAGAGTTGATATTGACGTAGCCAAATTCTCTGTACATTTCTTTCTTAACCAGTTGTCCAGTTCCTAAAACCAATAAGTTAAAATTAATAACTTTTTTACTAAATTTCAAATAAATTGAAAAATTTCCTTCTCAAATACATATATGTACAATTATAAATTTATATCAGAAACTTCTCAGTTCACACCCTTGTGAGATTTCAAAAATTAACAACATTCTTACCTTAAAAGTGCAATTCTTTTGTGTACTTACCCATTCTCTTATGACAAGATTTTCTACTTCTCTGACTTTTACATCTTTAACTTCCTACAAAAAATTCACCACCTTATGTAAATCATGTATACTAAATATTAAATAGTCTAAATATTATTTATATTAATATTGCTGTGAATAAATACATGTCACTATTAAAGTTACGTTCAAAAAGAACATGGTAAAGAAACAAAATTACCTGAATACTGAAATCCATCAGAAGTCTTAGCTGTGTCAGGAAAACTTCCATCACTGTCTTCATGTCCACTTCAGCATCAACTGGGAGAGAGGAATTAGGAGGGGGAGAGGGAAGGTTCTGAATCACTATCCCTCCCCATTGAGGACTCAGAAAGGAGTTGGTCTTCACAGTTTTACCTGAATGAGCCAAATGATAAATCATAACGTCAGTACACTGGGAAATCCTTCATGCACCCATGAACTCATTTACCCATTCTTTCAGTAATTGAATTTTAAAAACGAAACACTTTATGTAAAAAAAAAAAAAGAATTAAAAATAGTTGTTCGGTAATTTTCAAATGGAGAGGAAAATTGTAACACTGCTTTAAGAGACAATAATTTGAATACTTTAATTGAATACAAAGTTCATAATACATGTAGTTGTTATACAAAACATACCATTTTTGTCAACAATATGAAGGGGGCTCTGGTCTCTACTTGGAACATAAACAATGAAATTCAACATGGGATTATTGGAGGCATGTGATCCTGAAAAATGTTGTTAATCAAGTCTTACAAAATGCTCAAATAGTTTTAGACACAAAAAAGCATTAAATTTTTATTATGAAGAAATACCTACAAAATGACATACCTCCACACACACACACATATATATATATATATATATATATATATATATATATATATATATATATATATATATATATATATATATATATATATATATATATATATATATATATATTCAGCAATGTTCACTTTCAAAAGTAAAATGTTAAAAGTTCAATGTTTCTTCACGGTCAAAAACTGATTTTATCTAAATGAATATTGTATTTAGTAATTTATTTTGAGGTCTAAATAGCTGTTTGGTTGAATTAACATATAAAAATTAAAAAACAATTTTTAAAAAAATCATCCCCAAACCTTTTGCTGCCTTTTAATTTGATGATTGTTCTCTGTCAATCTCAATTATCATATATATTCATTGGATAAGACTTATCAGAATCATCCCATATCACACTAATATGATATCCTGTATACAGATTTCTTTTTTTTTTACCTAGCTTGGCCTCCAGTGGGTTGATGGTGTGGGGTAAATCTTTCTCCTCATAGTAGTAACCAGAACCTTCACTGTCCTTCTTAGGTTTTCTTCTCAATCCAGTGAAAAATATCATCTATAGAATTCAAGACTTCAGATTTTACTTTTCTAAATTAAATGTATACATGTAACTGATTAAAAACTAACAAATATACAATATCTATGATAAAACTTTAAAATATTACAGATGATAGCCCACTTTTCAAAATGGCCAATACATGTATTACAAATTCAACAAATGACTATTTCTCAAATATCTGAAAAATATTTGAAACACACCATCAACTTACATGTGTATAGTATTAATATTTCCAGTATACATAGAAAAAGGAGCTATGTAGACTATAACTTACCTGTGATTTGGTATCCAGACTAATATAATCTGACAGCTGAGTGGCTAAAGGATTCAAGTAAGCTATAACAAGAAAAAAAGTCAGTCCACAATAAAAATTTTCCTAAAATTCATAAAACATGGGTCAACTGCATATTTGTCAGACAACTTCTAAAACAAACTGAATGAATATAAATATCTAGAATATATGACAAATTAATTTGCAATTTAAACATTTAATATTTGAATGGCCCCTTACCTGCTATAGCCTCCTTGATTGACCAATCAACATTCAGGATATCTGGTTGTGGGTTCACCAAAGTGAATAAAAGGTCGTATCCTTGGTGATAGTGTAGGGATCTCATGCTTTCTTTATCCTGCCAATTACATGTACACATGTTTGTAGTTTTCAATCAATACCGAGATCATTTTCAAAGCAGATGAACTCTATTAACATGTACATGTGTTTAAAGAGAGTCATATTTGTATTATTCATGCAAAAATTTAAGGTTTATGTAATATCATTGATAAAGCAATTAAACTCCAAGACAATGAAATTTAATAACTCAAGTTAATATTTTGAATTTTAAATGCTCAAAATATATAGTTCAAAAAGTTGAAATATTTTCAAAATGACTGAATGCAGATCAATTTGTGTTAAATAGAGACACAGACAAAAAATAAGGAAGGTTCTTGTCTTCAAAATCTACTAGACTGGGGGAGTCTAGTTTATAGCAGTTATAGCTAAGTCCTGGGGACCTTTGAATTTATTTTGCTATATTTGTAATTCATTTTATCCATAAAATGAATTTGTTAATGTACATGTACATGTATATATATATAGCAAATTCACAATATACATGTTTTCCCTCAAGCATGATTATAGGATATGTCCCATGAAGAAACAAATACAAACTTACCTTGATTAAATAAGTTTACTGATGAATTGAATTATAAATAAAAATTAAATATAAATATTAATGAAAAACAAGAGATGTTTGTGAAACACTTATGCTCCTCCCTTCCCAATAATTGGAATTTTTCTAAGTCCAAGGGGCATCACTCTGTCAAAAATTGCTCGATTGTACCCAAAACAAAAGTTGACCTAGATATTTTTATGATAAATCTGTATACCAAATTTCATTTCAGTATGTGCAACCTCTGCAAAGAAAATGAAGAAACTGTTGGTGGACCGACAGACAGACAGCAGCAAAGCAATATGACCTTCCTTCTTCAAAGGGGGACATAATAATGTCAGTTCAATAATTTGGATTTTGAGATTTTGAGATTTTTAAGAATTTGTTATAAAAGATGTAAATTTCATTATTTTTAAACTCTTAAATTGTGAAGAATTTTGCTTGGAATCACCACAAACTTTACTATATTCCTAAATTCACTTTCTCTGTTTCACACTAAACAAGATTTACTGTACGAGTTTGATCAAAACTTGAATTTCAAAACCACATGAACAGTATCCTTTGCTCAATGAGAAGTTATTGCAATATCTAATTTATCAATACATGTATACTGTAATAATTTTTATCCCATTTTAAAAAAGCGTATGCCCATAACTTAGGACATTTTCAGCAAAAGGTTGAACTTTTTGGGCAAGTCTAAAAAACAAGATGATGTTACTCCTGATTGTAGAAAACATATACTGTATATGCTCTGATGTGAAATGTAAACATATGTAACTTGTTTGTTAAAAGTATAGTGTGATTCATGTTTAAGCATACTATTATCCACTCAATGTGGCAGATTATCCATTAAATAGTAATACTTTGAAAATGTTAGAAAAATTCAATAATAATTAGGGTGTATGTTTATTCATACTATTTTAAGCATCATAATTTCCTGATAAACATCCGTTTAAAGGCAAAATGAGGAAAAAATGTCTAGGTATGAAAGCTAGTATATTTACATTTTCTGTCCACAAACATTTCAGAAAATGGCATGCAATGAAAATGTAATGACCTGCATTAAGCATGGTGACATGTTGGACATGTTTTGTGAAGATTGTGAGCTGGAGATATGTCTTATTTGTGGTAAGCAAGATCATGCTTCCCATAATTGGAACAGAGCAGTTAATGTCTTGGACCATGTGCAGTCTAAAATCGGAGAAAACTGTGATACTTTACGTCAAATTGAAATTCCTCGACTGGAGGCTCAAGTCCAGAAAATCCATACCTTGAAAGCTGAAAATGAGAGACTTATCGACACCCAAACAAGTAATATTCTAATGCAAACCAACTTGTTAGAAAAATGTATGAGCAACATTTCAGATCAACAAATCAAATTTTGTACAACAGTCAAAGAAAAGATTGATGGAAAACTGGACTTAAAAGAAAAAGAAATACACACTTATATTTCAAATTTTGAATCCATTGTTAAGAAAATGGAAAAAAGTAACATTACGGATATATTAAAAATACTACAGATGAAAAAAGAAGTGTCCCTCATGCCTGAACCTCTGAAATTCTCGGATGAAGATGTGACTGCAGAGAAAATTGAGTTTAAGGAAGTAACCCCAGGTGAAAATATATTACGATCTATGCTTGGCAAACTATCTCTGACATACCATAACATCAAACTTACTCAATTGTTTGCATCAAAGAAAGGAGAGAAAAATATCAAGTATATTTCTCCAGTAACTGAATCAATAGCATGGTACAGAGAATTCAAATCTGTAGACAACATTCTGGTTGATATTAGAAATGAAAGGTCTGAAATTGGCTACAGTTTTGAAAAGTCTACCGCACTTCCTGAAAATTTAATTACGTTAAAAAATGGAGAGCTTGTATACACAAGCCACATAGGGCAATGTGTGATGAAACTGTCTACTATGAATATAAGTACCGAGGCAGAATCACTCCACAACATTGTAAAACTGGCAGACACTTCCCCATTGTTTCCAATAAGTATTTGTCAGTCAGCATCAGGCTATTTCCTCTTTACAGCCATGGATAAAAAAGCACTCTGTAAATACCTGTACACCGAATATCCGCCACAAAAAAGTGTTGTCATTGTACTTTCATACACAGGAAAGACCAAAAAGGTCTACCAGTTTGAGGAAGATGAGAAAACTTCATTGTTTTTCTTTCCTTATGCAATATCTGAAAATAAGAATGGGGACATTTGTGTTGTTAACCGCACAGCCATTAACAGAGGAGATGTTTGTGTTTTGTCCTCCTCTGGGAAATTGAAGTTTAGATACAAGGGACCCAGTCCAGACATATTGCCTTTTGCTCCCTATGGAATCTGCTGTGATGCTCAAAGCAACATATTAACAAGTGATTGTGAGAGCAATTCTATTCACCTGCTCAGCGAGAAGGGAGAATTCTTGACATATCTCATCAAAGACCAAAACGACCTACGATCAATGTCCATGTACCTAAATACATTATGGATTGGAGGAAAGAATGGATTTATCTATGCCTACAGATATGAAATTAGTGATTGTTAAAATTCTTCATGTCACTTTATTATTTTCAATATACACAGACACAAAATACCATAAATTCATACAAGACTACTGAATTCTGTATTCTTTCAAATGTTTTTCCTGAGGGACGAATGATAAGACATTCAATTAAAGTAGGGGAAATAAAAATCCTTGAATTTTATAGGGAAGAAAATAAATTATAATCCTAGAGGTTTCTGAGCTAGGAAGTAATGTACATGTACATATGAAAGTTATCAATAGTAGGGAAAGGAACTAAACTTGCATGTACATGTATTATATTTAAGATACCCCTAAATTAGGTGCCATAAATAAGAAAATAAAGCTGCATGACATAAAAGCGATATACAGCCTGAGGATATTTAGTGCTCTGATATTGGCTTTACACACTGTACCTTTGGCTCTCTAGCACCTAGAGAATTCTGGAAGGACTTCATTAGTGTATCCTCCCTAACCAGAACATTGTGAAGAACTCCTGTAATCTTTGCGGAAACTGGACTCAAATCTGAAAACAAATTTCAAAGAAGTAAGTCTTTATTTTAAAACAAGATGTGCTTGTGAAACACTGATGCCCACATATGGCAATTTATGGCAAAGGTTAAAATTTCTCAAATGCAAGTCAAACTCCAAGGTCAAGAGATCAAAAAATGTTGGTACCTAAAGAAAGGTCTTGTCTCAAGGGATGTACCTGTGAAATATGAAAGCCCTAGCACCAACCATTAAAATGTTATGGCAAAGGTCAAAGTTTTTCAAAAGTAGGTCAAATGTCAAAGTAAAAATAAATGGTGCCCAAGGGATGGTCTTGTCACAAGAAAAACATGTACACATATGAAATATGAAAGCCCTAGAACCAACCATTCAATAAGTTATGAATAAGGTCATTAAAGTTTTTCAAAAGAAAGTCAAACACCAAGGTCAAGAACAAGAGGTCAAAACTCTTGGTACCCAAGGGAAGGTTTTGTCATAAGGTATACACATGTGAAATATGAAAGCCCTAGCAACTCTTCAAAAGTTATGGCCAAGATTAAAGTTTTTTTTTAAGTAGGTCAAACTCTAAGGTCAAGGTGAAATGTTCAAAATTGTTGGTGCCCAAGGGAAGATCTTGTCACTAGAAATATGCATGTGAAATATGAAAGCCCTAGCACTAACTGTTCAAAAGTTATGGTTAAGGTTAAAGTTTTTCAAAGGTAAGTCAAACTCCAAGGTCAATGTCAAAGGATCAAAATTATTTATACCCAAGGAAAGATCTTCTTACAAGAAATATACATGTGAAGTAAGAAAGCCATAGATCCGACTGTTCAAAAGTTATGGCCAAGGTTAAATTTAGTACAATTTTGCAAAAATGGATCAAACTCCAAGGTTAAGGTCATGAGGTCAAATATATTGGTACCCAAAGAAAGGTCTTGTCACATTACTAAGGAATACACATGTGAAGTATGAAAGCCATAGCTCTAACCAATCAAAAGTTAAAGTTAAGGTTAAAGTTAAAAAGGTTAAAGTTTTTATAGACAGACAGCTAGACAGACAGATGGAAGGACAGGGCAAAAACTATATGCCCCTGAATCTTTAATGATGGGACATAAAAAAGCAAACTGGTTTTCTGTGAAAACAACATCTTCTTCCTTTTTAAGCTATTTTTTTTCAAAACAAACAAAATAAATCTACAAGAGAAGTGTATAAGCACATCATCCCTAAACAAGTTCTGAATTACCGGGTAATGACATTATCTTACCTCCATTCCTAACAGGTAAGAACACTGCCCTGTAGTTTCCCACAGAAGGCACATTAACCACAGCATTGTTATGTGGCAGCAGAACAATCAGGTATTTATTGATGGTAGAGTCCTCTCCATGGAAGTATTCATCCAGTTCTAACAATGTAACATCATATGAGAGCATTTTTTACCTATGGATATTGTAAATAAATGAAATTCAACACAATCTTTTTACCTTTACATGTATATCAATCAGGCATGATGGATTATCTTCTATCAAGAAGCAATAAACAATGGCTATACAGGTAAATCTAGAAGTTGTGAAACTTAATGCAATTGAACACTGTGCAATATTTTTCCAAAAGGGCACAATTTTAGAATAGAACTAGATATCATTGAGATGGTGGCCATCTCAAAGGGCCCCGCTTTCAGCAACGAACATGAAAATGTAAGGTAGCTGAAAAGGGCTTATTTTGAAGAGGAACATTTGTGTACTATTAAGGGATATGTTGTTTGAGTCTAAAGGGCTTCTATGTCATCCTTGTTATAATAAAAATTGGCACGAAAATCACTAGTGCTCTATACCCTCTATAAAAAAAACGGCACAAAAATCACGAATGTTGCATATCCTCTATGAAAATTGTTGCATATCCTCTATCAAAATATGGAAGGAAAATCACAAATGTACCATACCCTATGTCAATTGGTAAAGTTTGAGGCTGACTGGACTTAATTAAGGGAAAGAAATTATACACCAAACAAGATTTTAAACAGAGAGGATATTTTTGACCTTGACCCTTGACCTAGACACTTCGTTCAAGGTCACTGCACATTCATTGACCAGTGGCACTCTGTGAGTGAAGTATGAGCCACATTGGACCAAGGGGAGAGAAGATATGCTCAGGACAAGGATTTTTCGTATAATTCTGCTATGACCTTAACCTTAGACCTAGAAACATGATTCAAGGTCACTGCACACCCTTTACCCAAAGAAACACTGTGGGTGAAGTATGAGCCAGATTGGGCCAAGGAGAGAGAAGATATGCTCCAGACAAGAGATCTCAGACAGACAGAAGGACGGATGGATGGACAGACTGATCACTGTAGGGTGCCTGCAGAGCGGGGCCCTAATAATCAATTCTGTATAACTATCATCTAACAGTGAGCACAGATACACAAATTTACCTGTCAGTGTTTTAAAGGAGTTTGCATCACTTGTCTGCTTCTTCTCTGCTTGTCTGACTGTCACACGATATTTAGGAAATATTGTTCCAAGTTTCCTGTCATCTAAAGAAGTAAATTAATAAGTATCAATATCAAATTATATAATTAAAATAAATTTCTTTGAAATAATGTGATTACTTAGTTCAATATTCTCTAAGTATACGTTAATTAAGCATTAGGTCAAATTTACTGACTCACTGATGTTGTTTTTTTCCTAATTCTTATTTATTACATTAAATGTGATACTCAATAATCCAGCAAAACCTAAAATATACAATTGTTAAATATTCAAGATTTGATCTGTAAGATTTCTCTGAATGATAAAATCACAAAATTAAGAGTTACAAAGATAATTCAGATGTATTCTGCTGATTATGCTGAGGTGTCAGCCATTTCTATGGAACTTCTCTGGTTTTATCCATCAAAATATGCATAATATCTTTTGCCCGCTAACCCCCTATTATTTATTCACATTTTGATTCTTTGTAGTCTTGAAAGTCTTCTATAATCTTTTAAAAAATATGAAGAAATTTTTAATTCCAGATCACAAGTTTTCAGAGAAAGAAATTTTTCATTCACTGTCTATGAAAAATCCTTAGAAGTCTGTCTCCCTGTCATATTTTTAATGCCTTTTAGCTTAAAAATATGCTCACTATAACTCATATTTTTCTCTTTCATACTTTGTTTCAAATAATGAATACATTGAATTAAAGTACTTGAAAAGTTGAATGCAGCAGATCAGCAGAGTACATCCTTAATTTGTTGACAAAAATATAAAAACAAGAGTCTAATAGGCCTTGATGGTCACCGACTATGATGAATTTCTTAAGCAATGAACAATCAGCCTCAATCAATTTTACAATTTGGTAAGGACTGGATCAATCCTCAAACATACGATTAACTTATGATTAATTTAGCCCCACCCTAGGGCATGGGCTCCAGACACAAAATTTTTTGAAATATCTGCTAAAGGGATCATTGCTTATACAATGTATGATAGTGATGGGAATCAGTAAGAATTCTATAATCAATGATTCATTTTTGTTATAACTAGTTATCGATATAATTAGAAAACAAGAAATACCACGATAAGTAACTGAAAGAGTGAAATCAAATTGAAACATAACATTTCCTTTTAGCAGAAAGATTTATTTTCCTGTTGATACTTACATAAATATCCTTGTATACAATTAAGTTATCCTTGACGAGTATAAAAAATAACCAAGAGTAAACGAGAAAAATATTGAATACATGTATAAGTCTTTTTATATTTCGGGAATATGAATGTTGAGCACCTGACACGAAAAAAAAAGCGTGAGTTGTCTTTTCTGAGCTCCTTTTGGGGGGTATTAGATAAGCCATAGCTGGAATCTTGCATTCCAAAAATATGGCTAGCTGATAAAAAGGAACAACTCATTTATAATTGATATAAAATTTTAATAACTGAGTGTTTGAAATATACCAACAATCGACTAATTTTTTATTATAATCAATGATTGGAACTACACTATTATATGATGCATCTAATTCATTTATTAGATGCCCAGAGATAAATAAGATTTTCAAGTGTACATAGCATAGCTAGTTTGCAATGTATGACCAACTTTACCTCACCTTGGGGCCTGCATCCTGGACCAGGGGACATGAATTTCACAACCAAACAGTTTTTCTGGTGGTAAATTAGTTTTGTACAGGTGTAATGTATTTTCAATATATGACCAAATTAGCCACTCCCTGAAACCTGAACTAGAGATTTTTTTTTATTGCATGAATTTTGATGGTTTTAATCCCAACTCTCAGGTCAAAGGGTGGTTGGGAATTTGAAATTCTAAATTTCATCCATATGTAGTTGCTAGATACTAACACTGGATGAAGCTGAAAATGTTAAAAAGTTGATAGAAAATGACAGGCAGGAACAGACAGCAATAGGTAGGGGTGGGTATTGGTTAGAGATTTTGTATTGCGATATTTTTAACTGTATTGCCATATGTATTGCGATATTTTCAAAAAAAATTTAAATGGTATATTCTTATTATATTAACTTCCTATTACATGTATAATGTAGATAACTATGATAAATAACCAATAAAAGATATCTTGTTGATTGAATTACAGTTATGCAACTAAATATACCCATACAACAGCTTTTGTCTTACTGTTTGGCATAATCGCAAACCTTTCTGACAACTTTACTTTATATTTTATGATAGAATTCCTGACTCCATGCATTTTGCCGGTATATCGCTATTACAAAAACGTATTGCAATACGATAATTTTTGTCAACATACCACAATATACAGGAATATCGGTATTATTGCCCAGCTCTAGCAATAGGTCACTTGATTCAGATTGACTCAGAGGCCTACCTTGGATTTGAACCTATGATAAACCGACAATATACATGCATTTATTTACTGTTAATATGAGTTACAAATGTATTACATAAAATACCTAGGTTTGCCTTCAAAAGCTTGGACAGATCTGTCAGATCTTTATCAGTCCAAGATGTTTCCAAGTTTAAAACATCAATATCAACTGTGAACTGAAACTGAAAAAGAAACCATTTACAATGAAAATGCAGAAAAATATAAAAGCCAAAAACTGATAAGTACATGTACCACCTTATAAAAGCTTTCAAGTACATTCAGAAATTTGACAGCCACATTGTCAGGGTTATGCCTTCTTTGTTAAAAAGTACCTGGTTTGGTAATATTTTTAACAAAATTTAAGGCTAGTCTAGGGTCTAACAACCCTTGCACTTTGGTGCAGTGAAAGTTTTCAGTTTTGAACTCTTCTGAAAACATAAAATCATTCATCAAATTGCTTCTCCTTGAGAGACATTGTACTCAAAGTTCTAAATGTTTTGGAGGTATATAAAGCAAATGATTTGTGACCACACAATTACTTCTTGAATAAAATTATAAAGGAGGTAATTGTGGTCAACAAGATGATTATTTTAAATAACATAGCACAAAGTGAAGCAATCATACTTAGCCATGCCTCACCACACACAAGGTGGTGTACAGTTAGGCCAAAAAAAATAATAGTCTTGTTTCCTGCTACCCGACCTACCCTATTTTTTTGCACCCGACCCTAAAGTTTTTTTTAAGTTTTGGAGGAAAAAAAATCGAGAATTTCCGGAATTTCATCGTTCTGTCACCATAATCAGTTTTCCTGTTAGCACAAAACAAGCATTTCATGAAATTCTTGTTTTAAATATGGACTTTCATAAAATACCACTTGCGTTGTGCATAAAAAGACATGAAATTCAATTTTAAAAGACAATATTGACCTGTGACATGTTTAATTTTATCTTGTATTAATTCATATCCAACAAATGCTGTCATAAAAAAAATAAAATAAAAAAATAAAATAAAATAATTTTCCTACCTACCGACCCTATTTTTTTCAGGCTGGTAGCAGGAAACAAGACTATTACTTTTTTGGCCTTACCCAAACAATGGAAATACATCTTTTGCTTAAAAGCGTTAAAAAGCAGCAATGTTCAAATGTTGTTTGGATTGCTTTTTTGATAGTTCTTAGTACAAATATGAGTAGTCATATATTTGCAAATTTTTGTAATTTTTTTTTTAATTCAAAAATATTTGTGAAAAACTGTTTTGAAAATACATGTAGCTTTATCAAGTTATTTTGAATAGCTTAATAAAGCTATATTGCTAATTCAAGCTATAAAGCTAAACGAGATTGTGCTGGACCTGTTTAGAGCCATTGGGTGCCAGTCCTACTAAACAGAGTATGCTAGAGTACGATAGAGTACTTTAGAGTACACTGGTAAAATAATAGAATTTAATGCACTTAAACAGCTTTTTGTATGTTTTTTTTTTAAACTTTAGTTTGACAAAATAAATATATATCTTGAATCATTTTTCTCTGTTTCCATTATTTATTGAATTATTTCAAGTTATTGTTCCAGGTTACGGTTTACCATTTGAACTCGAACCCAAACTAAGAAAAGGAAAGAAAAAAAATAACCCCCCAAAAATACAATAAAACACAGAAATATAGGGAAAAACAATCATTTCTTTTTAAAAATAAAGATTGAATTTAAAGAAAACAGTCTTTAATATGTCGCTCGGTACTGCAAGCAAAATAAAAATTGTGATCGGGATACCATAATTGTTTTTCAATACATTTGTTAACTGGACAAAATTTAGCTAAATAATAAATATTTGAAAAAATTGTAATATTATTTTATAAATATGTTTTTTAAAGTTAAATATGAATAAAGAACCCAAATTATTGCATTAAATTCTATCTAAATTTTATCAGCGTACTCTAAAGTACTCTATTGTACTCTTTTTAGTAGTACCCATTGGGCGCATTTAGTGCTCAGAAAAACAATTTGGTTTAATTATTTAGTTTTACTTTTGCAGGTCACAGCTTGGCATTTGATGACAGATATCTTACCTTAGAATTCGATAATTCTGCTATCTCTGAGTATGGCAGACTCACTCTGTACACCTCTGTTGTCTTCCACCATAATGGTATTCCAATAACAATGCAGATTACCCCAAAGCTTATCGCAGCAATATGCTGGATGGATTTGTCTACAATTTGTTCATAATTTTTACACTTTTACTACCGTTTACGGTTTAGAATTATTGTGAATACATTAAACTTAAAATTTTACTGCCTGAAGTACATCAATCAATAATTCATCACTTCAAGTTGATCATTCTAGTTCCAGTACTTTTATAGTAAAATTCTATGAATCCCAGTTTAATCATCCATTCAAAAATTTACACCTTTATCATACAATTGGGATATATCTCGTTTATTATGTATGAAATGAAAGTTGAAAATGTACCCTTGTCCTCAGACGCATCTTCTCCCGGCATGATGATACAGGAAGTAAACAAATAATGTACATTTTGTTCCTCCTCACTTTGAAGAGTTCTAATAGTCGTAGACTGGTACCCTGACTTTGGTTAACAGGCGCGAGCGCCCTAAAAAAACCAACGACAGGTAACCACTGCCATTTTATCGCGTCACAGGAAACAACAATGATGATAAAAATCTATATTTAAACTAGCGTAAATCCATAATGCTGTAATAAACAAACCTTCTTTCTGCACTCCACACTGCTGTTAATAAAGAAAGTAGACGGATTTTAACCATCTAAAACCGTTACGAAGTGGTGCTTTAAAAATCATTTGCAAGCGATATCATAGGCCTTATTTAAATAACCCAAATCTATGATTATTAACTTGCATATTTGCCATTCACCCATTGGTATGTTAAACATTGATTCCACTACGACACTGGATGTTCTTTAACTTTATTTATGTTTTCAAGTTTACACGTAATGATAGCTTTTAACTCGCCTCTCCATACTCCATAAATCACTGTATATTTATGTGTTTATGAGTCAGGATCGCAATGCAATGTTAACACTATTGGAACAATCTCGGGTTCATTGTGACATTTGTAAACTATATACTCAGTCAATACAGTCACTGTCATGTTATTTAAATATTTCCCACGTTTTTCATTGTTTTATTCTTCAATTTAGATATGCTACGTTTTGTTATCTCTGTTATTTAGATCACTGGATCCACCTAACATTCTTCTCCGCAAGCATGGATGCTATTTATTTTTAGAATGCGCAATTGCTATGCGCGACAAAGCAGTGAGATTTTCCACTGTCATGGCGGCGGTGGTTACCTTCCTTGTAATTCCTAGCGGCAGCGACTGGAATCAAGGGCAGAGAACCAGTGCTATAATAGTCGAGGGTTTGCAGTTTGCAAGAAGGTTTGTAGAAACTAGTATACTTCATAATGGATAACTTAGACTACTTTTTAAAAATTTAAACGTAATTGTTTATTTTTGAGAAAAAAAATCAAAAAAAGGAGAATTAGTATTACTTTTTTTGGCATTTCGTTTTTCTAATTTTACAATATTTTTCACAAGAACTTAATTTTGATACGACCCCTGCCCTTTGTATATCGATACAACATATTTATAGATTAGTGCAAAATGGCTTCAAACACAGTGTCAAGATTTCGAGAACTTGGTAAGAAAATAGTTGCAGTCGGGAGAAATTATAGGTGAGGTTTACTGGTTTACTTTATTTAGTGTAATATAATATTTATCCCGACAAGGGAGGTCATTATTTAGAGTGTTGGAAATCTCGAGCCCGATTGAATAAAATAATATTTCAGTACAATATGATAGATATATGGAATTTCATATACGACAGCCAACTGCTTACTGCCAACTGCTCACTGCTTACTGCCAACTGCTCACTGCTTACTGCCAACTGCCACGCATATTTGAAAAATTTTTCATATTTATATTGATATTTATGTGAATTTTCATAAAACCAGGCGCGGATCCAGGATTTTTTTTACAGGAGGGGTCCACCCCCCCCCCCCCCCCCCAAAAAAAAATCCAACACAGAAATTTCTTGACAAAAAAAAAAAACAAAACAAAACAAACAAACAAACAAAAACGTAAACTCCTTTCCTAAACGTAAAAAACCTATTTCGGCGGGGGAAGGGGAGGGGTTGACATCTTATGCTTCATATCTATGACTTTTCATATCAACTTAACACGGATCCGCGTTTTCTAGGGGGGGGGGTGGGTTTCCAAGGTCACTTTTAGTTGGTTTAGTATAGGTCTATACATTAAATAACTCTACAAATTCCAGGGGGTGGTCTGGAACCCCCCTTCCCAACGACCCCCCCCCCTTCTAGATCTATGTATGTAAAATATAACTTATTTGGGAAAACAAAGAGATATTACGAAAGCCTATTAGGATCAAACTACGGTAAAAAAAATTTAAAAGGCGTTATAACGCCTTTTCAAAAGGCGTTATAACGCGAAAAAAGGCGTAATAACGCCTTTTGAAAAGGCGTTATAACGCGGAAAAAGGCGTAATAACGCAAATAAAGGCGTAATAACGCCTTTCCAAAAGGAATTTTTAAACTGTAAAGGCGAGGAAGGAGTAAATCGGAAGAAGGGGTGTTTCCTCTTTAAAACAAAACATTTAATTTCTGCATTTCGTTGCAGGCAAATAATTTGATAGCTTTTTTTTTTGACGCGGGTAAGGGGGGGGGGGGGGAGTAATCATCGAGTAATAACTTTTGGATTTTCTTTTTATCCTAGGAAAAATACCTATGTGTGGGAATTTTTATATGTGTCTTATGTAAATCGTTTTAATGGCTAATGTTCGACCTGTTAGATCTGTAAAAAAACATTCGTGGTGGTGGTGGTTGTAGGGAGGGGGGGGGGGGCGTAACCACTAAATTTCCAACACATACTATATACAGTAGTTCTCCCTTACGGAAGCGTATTAGTGCCACGTAATGTTTTTTTTAAAGTTGGTAATTCCAACTTTTAAGTTGCAATTGGAATTACCAACTTTAAAGTTGGAAAAGCCAACTTTAAAGTTGGAATTTTCAACTTTAAAGTTGGAATTTCCAATTTTAAAGTTGGAAAAGCCAACTTTGAAGTTGGAATTTCCAACTTTAAAGTTGGAATTACCAACTTAAAAAAAAAAAAAATTACGTGGCACTAATACCCTTCCGTAAGGGAGAACTACTGTATATAGTATATGTTGGAAATTTAGTGTTTACGCCCCCGCCCCCCCCCCCAACCACCACCACCACGAATGTTTTTTACAGATCTAACAGGTCGAACATTAGCCATTAAAACGATTTACATAAGACACATATAAAAATTCCCACACATAGGTATTTTTCCTAGGATAAAAAGAAAATCCAAAAGTTATTACTCGATGTTTTAAACTAGGCAAAAGTTATTTGTTATTATAACTTTCAGTAATATTTCTATTATAAATACATATACCAACAAATGTTACTCAAGACCATTTTAAAAGTTTGTTCTTTTGTCGTAAGTGACCCCCCCCCCTTACCCGCGTCAAAAAAAAGCTATCAAATTATTTGCCTGCAACGAAATGCAGAAATTAAATGTTTTGTTTTTAAGAGGAAACACCCCTTCTTCCGATTTACTCCTTCCTCGCCTTTACAGTTTAAAATTCCTAAATCCGCCAAATTTTGTTATTATTGTAAGAACTATGCAGCACACCAACTCTCTATTCCCGCCTTCATGAAAATGAAAATGGATAAATGACTCTTGAATCTCACCGTATGTTTTAACTTATGTAAAATTTAACATATGAGATTGATAAAGTGATAAAGTACATTTTTTATTTGTGATCTCATTTGAAATTGGTAATAAAATGACTATTTTCCTGTTTTTACTCTTCAAAAACACGTGTCCCCCCCCCCCCCCCCGTGAGACAACAAAACCTTTGGAATGAATAAAAACTGAAAAAAGGGATCTGTTGTTTCGCGGGGGAAGATGTTTTGAAAATAAATTTCCATTTTTCGTTAATTTCTATAGTGAAATATTTTTTTCAAATTAAAGATTTATATCTCTTTGTTTTCCCAAATAAGTTATATTTTACATACATAGATCTAGAAGGGGGGGGGGGTCGTTGGGAAGGGGGGGGGTTCCAGACCACCCCCTGGAATTTGTAGAGTTATTTAATGTATAGACCTATACTAAACCAACTAAAAGTGACCTTGGAAACCCCCCCCCCCCCCTAGAAAACGCGGATCCGTGTTAAGTTGATATGAAAAGTCATAGATATGAAGCATAAGATGTCAACCCCTCCCCTTCCCCCGCCGAAATAGGTTTTTTACGTTTAGGAAAGGAGTTTACGTTTTTGTTTGTTTGTTTGTTTTGTTTTTTTTTGTTTTGTTTTTTTTTTTTGTCAAGAAATTTCTGTGTTGGATTTTTTTTTTTTTTGGGGGGGGGGGGACCCCTCCTGTAAAAAAAAATCCTGGATCCGCGCCTGGTTTTATGAAAATTCACATAAATATCAATATAAATATGAAAATTTATTCAAATATGTGTGGCAGTTGGCAGTAAGCAGTGAGCAGTTGGCAGTAAGCAGTTGGCTGTCGTATATGGAATTCCATATTAGATAACCTTTATTTTTATTTTTTTTTTTTAATTTTCAGTTATTATATTATTAAATATACTTATAGACATGCTATAGTTGATAACAAAGTCTGCCATTAAATAAAATAACATTGCTTGAAATTAAATTGTTACAAGTAACTATTTGAACTTCACAAAATCACAGATTTTGAGAAGTTAATTTACATTTAATACAGGGAACATGCTACAGAACTAGGAAATGTTGTACCAACAAAACCAATTTTGTTTCTAAAACCAACTTCATCTTACGTCACAGAGGGTCAAAATATAAAGGTAACTGAAATTAATCTCATGTATATTCATTATTTGAATTATTGTTGAACATGTCTCTGTAGCCTTGCGACTGAATTCATTATTTCTTTTAACTGTTTTAGATGAAACATTTTATCGAGGTCGAATTTTTGATATATAAATAAAAGTACAAATCATGACATACTTAGATAAATTAATAGACTGAATCTTTCTTAATGGATTATCTCCTCTAAAATGAGGATGGTTTATCAGTCAGTTTACATGTATGTATATACATAAAACAGCGGTTTATGTTTGACCAATAGATTCCACCAAATTGCAAATCCCTTCATCACGAGGTAGAACTAGGTATTGTTATAGGGAAAACAGGGAACAATATAAGCGAGGACCAAGCTATGGACCATGTTGGAGGTTACGTGTTAGCTCTGGACATGACCGCCAGGGATTTACAGGTATGTAATTTTATACCCTGTATTTCCACCCTCGCTAGCGACATTATATTTGTAGATGTCTATGACACAGGATCACCCGTAATCTGCACATACTCAGTAGTGTCCTGGGGTCAGTAGGTGCTGTAAATGTTTATTAACTTAATAAAAGTGTCAATGGTGGATTTGGAACAGGCGCGGATCCAGGAATTTTTTCCATGGGGACTCCATCCCAGTCAAAAAAATATTTATACCACAAAAATTTCTTGACAAGACAAGAAAAAAAAAAGAAAAAAAAAAAGACCTAAATTCCCTTCCCGAACGCGTAATGAACCTACAAAATTTCTTGACAAGCAAAAAAAAAAAAAAAAAAAAAAAAAAAAAAAAAATAGGTAAAATCCCTTTCCAAACGTGAAAAATACCTATTTCATGGTGGTGATGGGGGATCCATGTTTTCTAGGGGGTCCAAAGTCAATTTTTATTTGCAAAAAGTATACACTTTTTTCTCTGCAAATAGCGAGGGGGGGGGGGGGTCCGGACCCCCCAACCCCCCTCTAGATCCGTGCATGCGGAAGGGGTAGAGACGTTGGCACCCAGCAGTACCTTTCGATAAATAGACAGGAATTATTCCACCTTTTGTGCTCTCAGAATGATTTAACGGGGCACACAGATGACGATTTAAGAGTCATTCTCTGTAAGCATCAAAGAATTTAGAAAAAAGTGGAAATGGTACATCACAGATTTGGCTGATATTTTGCATGTAATGTAGAAACACCATGTATAGATCATATTTGGGGTCAACAGACAAATTTGATTACCGGTTGCCATGGTTACCGAAACCGCCATTTTTAGCTCACAAATGAGCAACATTCTACTAAAATTATACCAACTTCATCTTAATTTTTTATTTTCTACACATTTCATACAGGATTAACAGTTATCTATTCTGATGTATTATTTATAGGAGTAACTACCGCAATTAGTGTATTAATTCAGTAGTTGGTCATGAATGAATGATCCTTCAATGAAAAGTGTCAATTTTTACAAATTTAACAAATTTTTAAAAATGCAGATTTTGGGCATTTTCTATAAATAATAGCAGAAAAATGCAGGCGCTCCATAACAAATGACCACCATCATGTAAAAGTTCATTCCATACTCAACAAAATATAAAATTTCTTGAGTGGTAATATTTCTTAAAATAAAATAAAATGAAAACAAAAATGGTTGCTATGGAGAATTTGGATTAATTTGTAGATTCTACATTTGACTGATTTTTTTTAAACATTTCTGCTTTAATTAAATCACTAATGAAAAAATATCTCACATAATTTACCTTTACATTTCACATAACATTTAAACAAAATAGAAATATAAAATAAAAAAACCACGTTGTGATGGCAACCAAATAGTTCAGGAACTATTCAAATTATTATTTATATTAACAATATAAAATAACCATAGCCACATCGCATTATTATATTTCTTCTTCTGAATCAATAAATAAATCAAATGAATCAACTTTATCATTTCACTTAAAGAAATTCATAATTTAAAAAAAAACAGTTGCTATGGCAACCAAATATTTCAGAAACAATCCTTATTATCATTGATATTATCAATGTACAAATCGTTGAATGTTATGTTTCTTCTTCAATAAAATAAATCATGCTAATTAACCTTGTCATTTTACTTGCATTAAAACAGAAATTCATTTAAAAAAATAGTTGCTTTGGCAACCACATTTAATTTATCATAGTTCAGGAACAGTCACTATTATATTGATATTATCAAAATAACTGGACAACACACAAAACTACAGGACGTGAAAAAGTCGGACACGTTGTTGAAAATATATAGTCACCGTGGTTTAGATGGCATCGCAATCAATACAAAATATTAGTCTATTGTAAGTCTATGATATGGATGATGTGCTTCCACAAAATAATAAAATTTCAGCTTAGAAAAAGCAATGTACGTTTTTTTCTGGATCGTCCAAACAAAAACAAAAAAAATCAAAAGAACTGAATTTTTGTTGTTTTCTACTTTCGCGGGTGCATTAGATGTAATTCGATACTTCCTCAATGATACAGGAATATAACATTTTCACATTTTCAAGAAAAAAGGTCTCTTCATGATGGTGAATTAAAAATAAACTTTCATTATCGAAGACTATTTCCGAGTTATTTATGTCTTAATAGAGTATTCAAATAAAGTACATGTGCATGCCTTTTCTTGCCATATGATATCAGAATATTTATAAATATAAAGATCAGTGACATTAGAGAATAATTTCATGAACATTATGTCTTATAGATACAAGTATGGAAATTCTTCTTGTAAACAGTTGTCTTTTTTTAAATCAACATAATTGTGTATAACGTGGGACTAACGCAGATGTGTTGGTGATTAATTTTTTTAGGAGGCATTATTTGTGCATTGCTGTTTAGTTAACATCACAGATAAATGTCGTAATTTGATTTTTGTAGCGTTTTGAAAATTCGATACGGACCACCCCCCCCCCCCCCCATTATTTAATCCAAATGAGATTTATATATTTTTGATAATTAAACATAATTTGGTTAATAGAAATTACATCAGTGTATATAAGAAAATGATCAGCTAACTCCATTACCGGCACTTCGATCCTGCTTATTCAGGATGTTATGATTCTATAAAGTACAATCCTGCTGATTCAGGATTTACATCAGATAAGCTGTGAAATCATTGCATCATTTTTCTCTAGTTTTTGAACAATTTTCCCAGGGGAAGCACCCTCCCCCCCCCTCCAACGGACCTGTCTCTGAATCCGCCATTGTATCTATATTCTGTCAAGTATATAAGTGAAGTTATTTGCCATTAACATCAGTTTTTATTGTCACCAACGTTTCATCAATTAGTGTGTGAGAAGCAGGAACCGTCAATTTTACTGGACAAGCCAGTTGAATATCACAATTTAGTACCATATTAACACCGATGAAATCTCTCTCTCACACACAAACACAATAAAAGAAATATTAAGAAAATATTTAAATAAAAACTCAGTAAAAAAAAGTTTCTCCTAAACTTCATTTAGCTTTATTGATTGTTTGTCGTGTATTGTTGTCGCAACAGAATACTAGTATTTATTTAATTTAGCTATTACTAATAAGAAAATGTAATTTACACATATGAGAATGATTTTGTTACAAGTTGTATACTCCTAAAGTTTGCTTTTGGCCTCCGAGATTCGCTAGGGTATATAAAATTATATATATGGTACAATGGTACATGTGTATAACTTTTTTAAAGCTATATATGACGTATCTGAACTAAAAAATAAAAATACGAGATTGAGTGTAGATAAACATGATACATGTTATTTACGTTCAAATTAAAATTTTCACCGACTTTGAACTTGAATAACCTCATGTTTCCATAGTTAAATTGAGTTTAAACTGTGTCTGTTAATTAAATGCGGAGTCGCGGTAAATAAATCGGTTATTGTTTTAAATTTCTAATATCTTTGAAACGTGATTGATTTAAATTGTGTAATTTACAGGAAAGTCCTATCTTTATATGAAGTTATAAAATAAGTAGAAAGATCTTTTTAATTTTAGTTAGTCTGAACTTATAAAAAACACGCCGTATACATGTATGCCTTTAAAAGAGTGATCATTATTTAGATTTAAAAAAAAGAAGAAGCAGATCCATTTTCAAATAGCTGCTGATCTTTCTTTGAATAATCTTGCATACATTGTAAGTGTTGTACTTCAGTTTGTGACGTGTACTACATATGATAGACAGGCTTTGGATATACTGCATGAAACAACCAAGAACATGATGTCATGTTCAGTGACCTATATACATGTACTGACGTATATATATAGGTCCCTGCAAAGTTGTATTCCCAAAACTGAATCTTGGATGCATAAATTGATATGAAACGATACTTAAGATGCTGAATCAATGTGACCATTTTTTCCTATGAGTGACCGATCAAAATTTCTGTAATAGGTTCATAAACTCTCTGCTCATTCATATAAAATTTTGCTTTAACCTTTAAGATTTTCCAAAAGAACTGTATTTTATAAGTAAAATACAAACAATTATAGCATAGCTTTCTGGGCAAAATTGGACAAAAACACACTTCAACTCGTCAAATTTATGAAGGAATAATAGACATTTATGTCATTAAGAGTTATCTCTCTTATCGGAGTATCAGTGAACCTTAAGTGAGTATTAGCAATGAAATAATCAAGCTTGCATAGATGTTCGGGGAACATAAAATCATGTTTTATATGCGCTGCATGTGACCTGTCTTCGGAAAAATTCATTAAACTTTTTTAAGCAGCTGTACTCTATAAAGTACAGGATTTTTTTTAAAGTTACTTTTTTTGAAATCATGTATGATTTTCGTTTTTAGGACGAGGCAAAGAAGAAAGGTCATCCTTGGACTCTTGCTAAAGGCTTTGACACGTCATGTCCGATCAGTGACCTCATTCTGAAAGACAAACTACCTCGGTCAGATAACGTCAATTTATGGTTGAAAGTTAATGGTGAAACAAAACAAAATGGCGACACCAAAGACATGATCTTTAGCATTCCATATCTTATTAGTTACATCAGCAAATATTTTACGTTGGAGGAAGGTGACGTCATTCTTACGGGAACGCCCTCTGGTGTTGGACCCGTTGATAAAGGAGACGTTATTGATGCCGGGATTGACAACATTACTTCTTTTAAATTTAAGATTGAATAAAAAAGAAAAGAATTTTAAGACTTGCATGCAATTTTAAATCATTTAGTTATTTATTGAAAGAAGGGAAAATAATGACTTTAATCAAGAAGTCTGCATATCATGTAAATATAATGAAAATTTACCACTCTTAAGTGTCAGTGCCTCAGTTATTCAAAGAATTATGGCCACTGTTAAAGATCTTGAAAATGTGTTCAAAGACATGTACCCAAAGGTAATGTCACAACTGATATAAAATCTGTAATAATCAAATGTTATCAACAAAATTTGACATACTAATATCCCTATCTGTTTTGAATTTTGCTTGAAAATTTCATTCAATAATATAAAATACTACTTAGAATATTAAGATACTAGTAAACACAACGTTAGGTTTTGTCTATCGCTGTGCATGGCAAGAATTTTACCGACGTCGTTATGACGTTACTTTTCGGCACTTATTTTCAGTTCATTCGCATATCTATTTAACCTCTAACGTGCTTCTATCTAATAATCTTTACTGCCGTTTTGCTATTAAACAGTCTTGTTTTGAGTTGTAGTATTAAAATTATTTGAACTTTGCCTGGATGTTATTTCTAAATTCTTATGTATTATTTGATTCAAAATGACTGTCGAAGTGAAACGTCATAACGACGTCGGCACATTCTTCCCGTGCGGCGATAGACGTGACCCAACGTTATATTCATTTTAATATTTTTCAAAGTATTGCATATTTAAGCATTGAATTCTTATTTTTGGATGTCGTCTGTCCTATAACACACCTAATATCGCGTTAGCGCGGTATGATAATTTGTCGGCACGGTCAGGTGTGTTATAGGACGGACGACATCCAAAATTAAGCGCGGTATGTTAATTTGTCGGCGCGGCCAGGTGTGTTATAGGACCGACGACATCCAAAATTAAGCGCGGTATGTTAATTTGTCGGCACGGCCAGGTGTGTTATAGGACGGACGACATCCAAAATTAAGCGCGGTATGATAATTTGTCGGCACGGCCAGGTGTGTTATAGGACCGACGACATCCAAAATTAAGCGCGGTATGTTAATTTGTCGGCACGGCCAGGTGTGTTCTAGGACCGACGACATCCAAAATTAAGCGCGGTATGATAATTTGTCGGCACGGCCAGGTGTGTTCTAGGACCGACGACATCCAAAATTAAGCGCGGTATGATAATTTGTCGGCACGGCCAGGTGTGTTATAGGACCGACGACATCCAAAATTAAGCGCGGTATGTTAATTTGTCAGCACGGCCAGGTGTGTTATAGGACCGACGACATCCAAAATTAAGCGCGGTATGTTAATTTGTCGGCACGGCCAGGTGTGTTATAGGACCGACGACATCCAAAATTAAGCGCGGTATGTTAATTTGTCGGCACGGCCAGGTGTGGTTATAGGACCGACGACATCCAAAATTAAGAATTTTGCTCTGGTACTGAGATATTTTAAGATAAAGATTTTATTTCCGGAATAAATAGACTAGCTACGCTGAATACCTATAATTCATGTTCGATCATAATTTGTTTTTGGTCATAAAAAATTGGTTCGGAGATCTACATGTGTATATCCCTATAAATTTTAGTAATATAAAATGTTCATGACCCATTTGTTGGTTTTGCCTTCTTCATGGAGGAGACTGTAATAAAATAATCAAAGCGCTCAACTTCTTCCTAATCATCAGATGTACCGTCATTGCTGCATGCATTTCATTTTCCCTCAATTTCAAATTAACTGATGAAAAAATCACTTGCTTTTCAACATACATGTATAAGTAGATAAATTCTCAATACTTATTCATTTGTTTCCTTTTCCATAATTTTTAGTTAATTCTTCATTAATTTGTTATAAACCACAACACTACATTTATATTCATGGGAGGTATCAAGAAATTCCAGATTAATTTCAAATCTGAATGCATCGTTTTCAGAAACGAAAATAAAAACATTTTGTACGATTAGAAAGACCCCCAACCCTCTTCCTTTTTTTCTTGGTTTAATTGAGATACATGTAAACTGGATCTGTTAAAAGATGAACAGAAATCTAGGATGTACATGCATCCGAAACAAAGAAATAAGCGTTTAGGTATATTTAAAGGTACAAAGATGTGGAAAAGAAAAAAATATAAAAAAGAACTTCAAGACAAACCGTCACTAACAGCATATATAGTACATGTATATTAAAATGCGAAACACCCGGATCGTAAGTTATGCGACAATTTACACAGTAATAAATCTGAATTCAACATTCTACTATATAATAATCTGCTTCCTGTTTTTAAGTTTGTATACAATTATATAGCAACTATTGCCGGATCTATAACACTAGTCTGTCTTGAGCTCCTCAGATTTACAGTTTTTGTCTACTTTGCGGGACTTTGAAAATTTCTATGATGCCCCATCCGCTTGGTATTCTGCTCCTGGTATTTTGTCCCTCAGTTGTTGTATCTGATGATAGAGGTAAGTGTCACAGACACAGAGAAGCTTCTGTTTGGGGAAACCACACTTAGAATACTGTAAAAAATTGCGTTTCTTCTCATTTGAAAATGTCACGCAATTCTGTCCAGTGGAACTGATCGAATCTAAAATGAAGAAGACTTAGCTTGTCTCTTAATTAAACTAAAAGCCATCAAAAATAGTCTTGAATTCGATTTAGCGAATTGTTATATATATATATATATATATATATATATATATATATATATATATATATATATATATATATATATATATATATATATATATATATATATATATATAACGAATTTAATTCGTCATAACATTTTTTTTTGAATTCGTTATACAGAATTTTTTACACACTGAATATTGTCTACGGATTTTTCCGGTATTTCCTGATCATGACAATGAGCACACGGCGGGTGTGATCGGTCGGTGGGGGATGCTCACTCCTCCATGGCACCTGATCCCCCCTCTGATGTTTTAGAGGTCCGTGTTTACTCTGCTCCTGATTTGTATTGTTTAAATGGACTTTAGAGCTTGAATACTGTTCGTTATCTCCATATATTTTCATTTTAGATTTTGTGGGAACAAATTGAACAATTTGATGTCAATTTAATGAATTCGTTTATTTATATAACAGAATGTAACTTGTGATAACGAATTCTCTAGTTATGCTCTAACAAATTAACACAATGTAATGCGTTATAGCAGAATAATTACTTCCACTGATATTATCTCCCTTATATTATTTCTTATAAAAACCACGGTCGTTTTTCAATACTTTAACGCTGCGTAGCAAGCCACCTGTATAGAATTCTTGAGCAGTGGCTCTTCCATCAATGAAACATACTATGCTATACATATCAATAATAAAATTTTTGATGCAATCAAATCTATACTTTCTATGATTATTTATACAGACATAAATATAAACAATAGATGGCTTTCTTTGTTAGTATGGTAATTAACGTTGCAGCTATTGCAGAAAAAATACATAACCACCTGATGCGGGTTATGTATTTTTTTTTCTGTAACAGCGGTAACATTAATTCCCATACTATATGAACCAAACAAAGCATTTTATTGTTTAATTAAATTAATTATAACGAGTTCATCAATTCGATATATTGATTTAAATTTGATTTAACGAGTTCTACAATCGTTCATTTGTTATCACAGTTTTGAAAGAAATATGTTTAACCAGATTTTATAAATCCGTAAAAAAGGAATTGAACAAATTGAAATGATGAATTCTGGAAACTGATTTAATTCAATTTAAGAAATTTTAGAATCTGTAAAAATGGATTCAATGAATTTGTTTTAACAGACTAAATTCGTTATAACGAATTCAAAAAAAAAAAAAAAAAAAAAAAAAAAAAGACATAAAAGGAAATGAATTTGTTTAAACGAATTCTAAAATTCGTTGTAACAAATTAAATTCGTTGTAACAAATTCGATAATTCGTTATATCAAATTCAAAAATATTTTTGATAGGTTTTGATAGGTAATACGAAGTAAATGTCTTTAGATGAAAATAACACGATACAAAATACTCTAAATAGCACTAATTTGTTGTACAATAAAAAACTTGAATTATTTCTAAGAGGATTAGTGTTGTAGCAGATCTTTTATGAATTGTATTTGGTTATTAGGTGCCTACTATGATACAACACCCAGAAGCTGGCATGAGTCTTCTACAAATTGTCAGCAATTAGGAGCTTGGGAAGATACCGATTTTAGCACTGCAGGATTCAAGGTACCAGCCCGACCATCGGGCTTCCCTCAGGATCAGGTTTTCTGGATTGGAGCAGACATGCATCAAACTCCATGGTTCACACTCCTAGGTAATATTTTGCATAAAGACATCTGGTGAAGGTACATATATGCACAAAAGATAGATAACTGTGCTTAATGTCTGGTCATCTTCCTATATCAGATTAAAAAAATACAAATTTAAAGATTTTATGTTTTTGAAACACAGTTCCAGCGTGAAAATGGTACAAATTACTGTAATTTCAGATTTTTTCTAATGGAAAATGTTTCCCTATAGTATAGGAGGAAAATTCTTGACGACACATTTATAGTATTTGTTGGAGTTCTTACATAAAGAAATCGATTTTTAAAATCAAATTTTTTAATGTTGTAAAAAGATGTGAATAAAAAAACAAATTATCAAAACAAAGCAATGAAACTTGCGTGCGCGCTTGAGAGAGAGAGAGAGAGAGAGAGAGAGAGAGAGAGAGCAAACGATGAAATAAACAAAACAAACACGATACCCCCCCCCCCCCCCTGAAAAAGATAAAGGAGACACCCTCCCCCCAAAATACAGACAAGCAGATAAATAATTAGATCAAAGGAAGCAAGCTATGCGAGTAAGGCTTATTCCCCGAACGGCTACTCGCCAAAAACAACAAGTAATTATCACACTCAATTAAGGGGCCCTCTTAGGGGTACAGGTAGACTTACCTGTATGAATAATCTGCCAGAATTTAAGTTACTTTAAACAAAATAAAATAAAATAGATTTGGTATTTTTTTTTTATTTTAGCAGAAAATTAAATGTATTGTGTACAAATTTTTAAATAAATAATTTTACAAGCACAAAACATAGTAAAATTAAGAATTACACAGAAATTTTTACTTTAAATTGTCTTAAAGTTCTATTGTTTAACAGCACTGTTTAGCACACTTCATATTTCATTATAAGTAAAAAAGCACTGTTTCACTTTCAAACCACACATATTTACAATTGATTTAGTCATAACTAAGGGGTCACTATCCTAGATGAAGTAGTTCAGATGCAGAGTCTGTGTACGCCATAAGGTCAATGATGCCATCCTGGTACCTTTCTTTCAGTAACTGCAATCTTCTCTTTATATTTGCGTACTTTTTTGCTGGAGGTCTAATGGTCCCGCCGGCTTCTGTATATCTTTAAACATCTTTACGACGATGAAGATGTTGGGATGTGCGTGCTGTGCCATTCTTTTGAGTTTTCCATGCCATCCTTCAAGGCTGTTGTTGGTCCGTGGTCCCTCTGTTCCAAAATGATTCCATAAAAGTCTGTCACCGTTAACCCACTGTTCTGTCACATAGTCTGTGAAGGATTCTGTAGCTTGTGTGAGGTCAGCTTCATCTCTGTCTTCTAGGGCTCTGAACCAAACGTCTTCAATACAGTCTAGGGGAACAAGGGGAAGAACTGTTGCTCTTCTAACCAAAGTCTTTACGTTGTCGTCATCTTTGTAGGGGATCTGTAGTCCTGTCTGTTGAGCTTTTCGCCAAATAGCCTGGGTGAAGTGAAAAAAACATCCCTTCGTTGTGATGTCCGGAAACACTTCTCGGATGGAGTTGTGGACTGCTGTCTCGAAGTCAGCTAGGGCACAGGTTGGTAAAAACTGGAGGTCAAGGTCGTTGATTTTGTCCAGAAGAAGGGTGAAGAACCTTGTATAGATGGCTTGACTCTTTCCTGGTAATAGGGCATACACAACAGGTGTCATCACATCATCACTCAGAATATGAACGGTGTATATCTGGTGGAATAGGTTGGGGCAGGTGTAGAATGTCCCGTCACAGAAAAAGGTCTCTGAAGCTGCCAGGTCTCGTTGTCCGTTGTTGCGAATGCCAGGATCCTATTGTTCTGAACGGTGTCGTCTAGAAGGAGGAAACGTTCACCTGTCTGTGTTTCTGTCCATTTCCCTTCTAGTCGAATGTCAGCAGGTGTCTTTGGAAGTGGTGGAGTCTGTTTCCGGCGAGCTCTGTAAAGCGATGACTTGGCCGTGTTGAACGTTGGCAATCTCTCTATCACTTCTCTGCTGGTGTCGTCCCATTCATCGTCTCGCAGTCTGTTGAGTTCTTCTGTGAAGATGGAAGGTATAGGTTTTACTTCTTCTGTGCATCGCCTTGAAATCTGGTTCATGATCTGTTTGGCAGCAACTTCGGTGTGATCTTCAGGATGGGTGTGGAGCTGTCTTCCAAATCCTATGGGAACGTTGTTTTCTGTAGAGAGGCCAGCTGAGCATCCTGCAACAACACATCTCCAAAAGAGTTTGGTGTCTGTTCTGCGATGAATTCTGTAGATAAAGCCTTGAAAGGATAAATTTTGGCCGCCTCTCCTGTTTGTGATGAATTTCACGTTGAGCTGTGCATTTGCCATTGTTGATGGGTGAAGTATGATGCTTCTTCATTTTCATCCTTATATATATACTGTTTTGAAGCTTGTGTTGTTCTTGTAGTTACAGCTTGGACTGCATCATTGGACAAGTTCAGTACATCATTTTATTTGACACTAATTATTATAGCTTAGCTTATTTAAAATTTCAAAGTGAACTAATCTCAATTATCATTGCTTCATCAATTAGCTTATTAACTTGGGTCTTCATTAAAAATCAAAGTGATCTGTTTTTATCACATCAAATCTATTGATTATCAAAAAGTATTGCATAAACTTCTGTTTTTTTATGGTGAGTTTTTAAAAAGGTTTCATTCAAAATGATAAATAAATGAGTTAAATAAGTCAGAAATTTATAGATAATTTGTGTGTGTGTATGTGTGTGTTAATTTTATGAAAGAGTAATTTATGAGTTTTTTTTAAAAATAATTATATGAAAATAATCCATCAATACTATTGAATAATTTGGAAAAAATAATATCAAAGGTACAATAAAAAATTTTATTTTAAGTACAATCATACAAAGGATCTTAGTTATGTATTTATTTTTTTCTTTTACACATTAGAGTTTTGAAAATTAAAAAAAATAATCTCTAAATTAAAATGAAATTCAATGAATTTATCTGATTTATCTTAATTTTTTCTATTTATTTTTTTTTCTTTTATATAGTAGAATTCTGAAAATTAAAAAAAAATCTTTGAATTGGATGGATTTATCTGATTTATCAAATATTGCTAATCCAGGTAAACACAGGTAAGTCTACTGTACCCCTAAGAGGGCCCCTTAATTGAGTGTGATAATTACTTGTTGTTTTTGGCGAGTAGCCGTTCGGGGAACACACCCCGTATACACATATATACACGTGAATACCTCCCCCCCCCCCCTTTCCGCCTCAAATCAATTAAGCTTTGTGATATAAAGACTTAAAGAGAGTGTTTAATTTCTTTATTGAAGGATGCTTTGAGACCGAAGAAGCCACCAAGGTTATTTCTCTAAAGACCATTACTGGTCATGGAAATCCCACCTATAAATGCTCTGCTTTTTGTAGTAACAACGACGGTATTACGGCTATAGGCATATCGGTAAGATCATCAAAATGCTTAATTCTGTCTAACACTCAACTGTTTCTATACCTGCATATCTGAAATCTCTGCACTGTTCCATAGAAGTGAGAATAGTAACGGTTGTACTTTAAAAAGGTTGTAGTTGATAACTTGGAAAATTCTCGGAATGATTTGTGTAGCTACACTTTTCGTAGCAAAGACAGAGCAGTAAATAGTTATAAATGATTGCTTAGAGTGCACCACGACACCATATTTAAGGTTATTGGTTTGCCCGAAACATTGTGTCAGATAAAGTGAGTTTACATCTTTCTCAATGATATACTTTAACCATAATATATATAGAGACTGTTTTATGATTTTAATAGAAAACGACATGCTACTGTTATACCGATGTAGAGAAATACCGCAAGGCAGACGAAGAGTGCGTTTATAAGACTTTTCCAGAGTACCCCGGTGAACTCTTCGGAGGACCAAACGACGGAAGTGTGGTGGTATACCAATATAACGCACAGGAGCCATCATCAAACTGTAAGGCGTTAATTTGAAAAATCTCCAATTGATAATATTTGATGTATCATTCAATAAACATAACATTTAATAAACCCTACTGCTTCTGGTGTACATGTATATGCCCATAAAAGCAGGAACGCAGAAGACAATTTATGTTTTTCAAATGTTATATTCCTCTTTTTGTTTAAAAGAACTCTCTGGTTATTCAATTTATTTATTGACAACACCATCTTACATTGACGATGAATAAAATCAGTATCTATCGCGTCATTGAATTGACCTTCTTTTCTCACACTTTGATATGACTAATATCCGCTGGATTTAATTCTCATTGTTTTCGTGAGAGACAAAGGAATTCATGTATTCCACGAGATGTAAAATTCAAATACATTTGTATATACAACTCAAATCAGGGATTGCGTTTTTCAATTTTTTTTTTACTTTTTTGATACAAGAAAATACGATATGAAATGTAACAATAAGGAGGAAGAGAGTGAATTGGATCATAGTAGAATGAATGGTGTAGTACAATAAATACAGGTAAAACGACTATAATTTGCTTCCATTTACAGCACATGAATACGGTAATTGCGCTGCTGTGAGATATCTAGGAACAATTCCGGTTGGTCATCAATTTTCTTCCTGTCTGAACAGAATTGGGTTCATGTGTTCAAGTAAGTTAAACAACCATCTACAGGATTGTTTTGTTAACAGTAAAAGTAAAAAGAAATGATTGTTTATTGTACATGAAATGGGGTTTAATTTAATAATAAACTCAACAGCCCACAAGGCCTTTATTTGGAAATTTATTTTGGCTGTTAAAATTGACCTTGATTTTATTTCAGATGGGCGAGTATCTCTCGTAGAAGTACCTTGGGCTGAAGCTGTAAAACAGTGCGGTACATCTTCTTTAAAGACAGACATCATTGGCCATTATACAGGCTTGACGAATTCTCACAAGAATCATGAGTTTTGGACAGGATTTTACAGACAAAGCTACGAATATTGGAGCCCTCCTGGTAAATGCGCATTCATTACTAATGGCCGTCCATATAGCAGGCAAACTGTTTGCGTTATTATAATGAGTAGCTAGTAGGGAAGTCCCATTGGTCCAGAATTCGGGCCCAGGGTTCAGACCCCAAGGTGGGACATGGGTGATCATATATTAAAAATGTATTATATTTTAAATCATCTTCTTTACTCATGGATATCTAACAGGCAGACTTTTTGCATGAGGTGACCGTTAATGCCATTGGATTCTTATTCATTCCAGGATTCTTAGCAAACAATTTAATGCATAATTGGGGTGAGCTAGCTGCCCTTTTCCAAATATGTTAAATGTGTGTGCCCAGAGCACAGGCGAGTGGCGTGGCTAAGCTTGATCATTCATTTAAAATGCACATAATCTTAAAAAATCTTTTCTACTCATAATCATATAGAAACATGCTTCAGGAATACGATAAAGTTTTCACCAAATAGATTTTTCACCAAATAGTAAAATTCCTGCCAAATCGAGTTCAGAGTTACAATTTCAGGTTGGGGTGATATGGTCATATGAAAGGAAAAACAAATTCTTAGTTAATCTTCAAGGACCATGGGCCTCATATAATGTTTAAGACCTAGACAAAAGGAACAAAATTTGTTTGCTTGGGCATTCTGAGATTTATTCGGTCTTTTCAGAGCTCAAAGGACCATAAAAGTATTATCAATATCCACTATATTTTGAATATATGACAACTTTTATGTATCATGTTTTTTTTTCTCCGACTTTTTTTATTAGGTGACTTGGAGAACGGAGGAAAAGACAAAAACCTCCATCACTGCTTAGCAGTTAAGGTGAATGAAGATGGAACAATCTACCCCAACACTTATCCACAAGATTGCTCAGAATCATTGCCTTCCATTTGTGAAAAGTCAACAAAACGTGTGTTACACATTTATGACTTCGAAAATTTAAGGGTTAAACCATATTTCACACTATTAAATACCATAGCTTAGTTATAAAAGATGTTTTTGCGTTTAGAAATATTATTTTGGATTGATATTAATGGATAAAAAGCATTCAATCCATGTATCGTGGCTAGGGTTTAGTTATCAATAATGATATATTAATTCCATTTCTATTTGTTTTCTCTGTGATAACTCTTTGAAAGTTAGGAGAGTTGATTTCTTGATCATTCTAACGGAATGCAAATTTCGCCAAGCGAAAGGTCAGGAGCTAAGAAGGCGTAATATGCATGTAATTCTCGTGCGGCTGTCTTTATGTTTGACGTCAGTGGGCGGGGACTATTGAAATTGACATGTGAGGCCTCGTGTAATTTAAATCAATTAGTCTACATTTTAAAAATCTAAATTTACAATTTTATTTCACAATGAAATGGAAATATAAGGAATCACTATCTAGTTAGTAGAGTATGCCAGGGACATCAACGATAGTTATGCAAATTATCCCACGTTTCCAACTATCGTTGATGCCCTGGCATACTCTACTAACTAGACAGTGATTCCTTAAATAACATTCACATATATGATAAAATATAGGGATGGCAATCTGTATTCGCCTAACCAGTTATTCGGTCAAAACGACGATAATTGGTTGGAAAATCTGTAATCAGTCGGAAAAAATTTAATTATGTAAATGGTCATTCGTGAAGTGTTATTCACTGTTTAAACACTGTCTTGTATTTAATTCTTGTATGATACTTGAATTAAATTATCTGCGATCAGATTTTAATGTTATCTTAACCCGTTAATTATTCTCTTTGCAGCTACCTATAAAATTATATTGTTATACCTTTAAAACTTGTTTCCTTTATAAGTCTATCCTTAAAAAGTCGAATATTTCCAATATTTTACTGAGCGACCCCCCCCCCCCCCCGAAAAAAATCGATGTTGGACCGCTGAGTGAGATACTGGGTCTGTCAATGAGATATTAGACCGCAATCATTGTGACTTTTTTACGTCACACTGTAGGCGGGATCAGCTATAGCATTGAAGCCAGTGCAAGATATGTCAAATAAAAAGTAAAAGGTTAACAAAACATTTATTGACCGAGTTCTCGGGTTAAATGCATTTTGTAGACCACCTCGAACAAAGCTATTTTGTTCTTGGGTTCGACAAAACGCATGTTTCCATCGAACTTAGTCAATAAATGTCTAATTACTAATCTTAGTGATTATTATATAAATAGTGCACGTTTTTGAGGGTAACAGTTGAAATTGACACCCCAAGGAAAACCATTGTCAACCGACGCGTCAGCGGAGGTTGACAATGGTTTTCCGAGGGGTGTCAATTTCAACTGTTACCCTCAAAAACGTGCACTATTTATTTTATTATACTGAATGTCTTATTGATTTCGGATATCATACAAAAAATTCGGAGATCGTCGTTAAGTTCACGCTTAGAAAGCTTTCACACTCCCCACTTCTATTTTTTCAATAAGAAAGCTTCGGAAAAGATTTACCAACCTCTTTTTTGTTTGTTTGCTACTCAAAAAGTCCTTTATCATCTAAAGTTTGCACTCGCAAGGATGTTTCGTCTGTCGTTTGTTGTTTTCAAGTAAGCTACATCGGACGCAAGCTTTTATTGACCTCGTTTATTCGACTTCTTTCAAACGCACAACCGACGTTTTGAGAATTCTACGGTGAACCGTACGCGCATCATTTGAACGCATGTGATATTTTCGTAATGTTACCCGTTGTCAAGTGTGTTGCTAATGCTGAGGGTAACATTACGGATTGTTAAATGCCTCTAAACCAATCAGATTTTAGTATTTAACATGAAAGTATAATAATAAGAATTAGTTCTTATTTTTGTGACAATGTGTCACATCTGATCTTAAATAAATAAATCCCCATTTATGAATAAGTCATTGAATAGTTCATGTTTAGGTGACGGTGGTTGGTCGGAGTGGTCTGATTGGAGCCAGTGCTATTTTGTAAATGGTATGGATAAAAAATCTAAAACTCGTACATGTACCAATCCTTCTCCACGGCATGGTGGAAAAGACTGCGAGGGAGAGGACCTTATAGAACGACCTTGTCTTGAACCAACAAGTGTGAGAGGTAAGTGACACTTCAGAGACTCGTATTATTCCAAACACAAACTCTACTTTCTGTCTAAATTTCACTGGAACAAAAAAGATAAAAGGCCTCTAGTTTGTTGAAATCGGCAGTTTTTCGTGCAGGTAAAGGCTTTTTGACCAAGTTCATTTCCTTTTTGACCAGGTTCATTTCACAAGGCATAATGACCACGGATTTCCTGTTAATATGTAAGAAATTGGGGAAAAACTATGTTTACAGTATCAGAATCAAAAAAACTTTCACAAGAAACACTCTATGGACCAATATTTTTTCTCATTTATTTAAAAAAAAAACTACTGGCAAGGAATATTGGAAGAATGTTTTTACTGCATATACTTTGCAGTATGTTTCTCCTATCTTTAGCTTTTTGTATCAATTATTAACAATAACAAAACAGATCAGAGCTTTTTTAATCTATAACTTTTTATACAAAGAAAACTTAATCAATGCGTATTTTTTAAAGAATCATTTTCCCTGTCCAAATTAATATATCTTTAACAATTTTTCTTCAGAAGAGCTTTAAAAAAGGAATCCTGAAGTCGTTGGAAAATGGTGAGTAAAATAGCTTAATATGTTTGAATTTTTTCCGATGCAAACCTTGTTTTATCAAGCTGCATTTTTGTTCAAGCAAATTAAATACTTATATTTGAACCAAAAGTTTATGATTTTTTCTGATTATAAATGTGCGCAGCATCCATTTTTAACTCACCTGAACCAATGGTTCAAGTAAACTTTTCTGATCACCTGTTGTCCGCCGCTTAATACCCGTCGGTCTGTTAAGTTTTGACATTTTTGACATCTTCTCTAGAGCCACTGGACCAATTTCAAATAAACTTGCCAAAAAGTACCCTCGGATAAAGGGTATTCAAGATTTAAATGAAGGACAACGTCGTCTTAAAAAGATAAGAAATAATAAAGAAAAGGCAAAAAGGATTGGTGTCTAAAATCTTCTTCTTCTTGGTACCTGGGTCGGTTGGGACCACATAGGGGTCAGAGTTTTATTTGGGAATAAATGTATATAGGGTATTTGAAAAGAAAAAATCTTTTTAAGAGTAGCAAGGACACATTAAATCGTATTGATGTGCAAACATTTCCAAATTGTGTGAATTTAATTTTTTTTTTTGTGAAACGTATGATAAGGGCGGGTCTAAATCGGGCATAAAATTTTAAAATCATGCATTAAATCAGAGGAAAAAAACATAAAAATCCTCTCCAGAGCAAAAGGTTATGTAAGTCATATTGACTCCTCAATCCTCATGTGTGGATTCAAGTTTATTTAAATTATAAACCTTAAGGACATACGCAACGTAGTTTGAACTTTATTGTCTTTTTCCTTGGAGTTGAAGAGTTCCAATACATAAAGGAACTGTGTGCTACATTTTAATGTCTATGTATGCCATTGTACACTTCTTCTAAAACAAGTTTGGATAAACAAAACGTCTTGAATATATGTTTAGTAATTTTTGTATATTTTTCTTTGAATTACACAAGAATTTTCATCAATTGATATCTTTTCAAAACCCCTGGTAATGCTTGTTGATTTTTTGTCTACGAACATCTGATGGCACTATAATCTTAAATTAAGAATATCTTGAAAAATTATCAGTTGGTAAGGTACGTTGCGTATGTCCTTAAGGGCGAGGGTGGGATACAATATGGGGTCAATATTTCATGGGAATGAAGAGGGAAAAAATCTTTTAAAATCTTTTTCGGAATAACAGCAGGGCTAAGGTGACTCAGACGAACATTATGGCTTATTTGTCTCTTGGATAGTCTGTCGTTCATCTGTGGACTTCACATCTTTACTTTACCAATAAACCAAACTTGGTCCATGTGTACATTGTATCTCTCAGTGACAAGGACTAAATAATTAGCCATGACTCAAGCAAAGAGGATGGAATTAAACATGGAAATAAAAGATACAACCAGTTAAAATCTTCTGCTAAAACCTGGGGTCATTGAAGACAAAATGACTCATTTGAAAGCTAGCTTCTATGAATTCTCTGCAATTAAGTCATATATGCACAGAAGCTGGGATATGAGAGAAAATAAATGTATTGTTTATTCAATTTTTGGACTTTCTAAAATAAATCATCTGTAAGCTTTGTCTACATTAAGCCTTACACACAAAATTTATGTTTGTAGCATTTGAGGGGAAGACAACTTCTTAGACCATTGGTTTTTTTCCTGCAAAGTCTACGAAACATCGGACCAACTGGTGGAACAATAAATAATACATCTTAAAGGATTTTGTAAATGATCCAAAAAAGATTCTCAATTTTTTGTTCGTTCCATTAAAAGAAATACAAAATGCAAATAGTTTTTATGATTTAAATTGTAATTCGTTTATATGTATATCAAACAGTAATTCCCAGTCATGCTTTCAATCGATTTGATTTGAAGGCTTAATTTTGTGATTCTATGAGATTTCACAGGGATTTATATTTATGCTTTAACTTACTGTTGCAATATATAATGAAGTGAATAATATGGAATTAAGATATGTATTTAAAAGGTTTTTTTTATAAATTAATGTCCTCTGCTGTCCTTGGTACTGGTAGGAACTAGTGATTATAAAATGTATACATAAAGTGATGTATAGCTTTTTAGGTCACCTGAGTCACTCAGGTGACCTATTGCTATTCGTTTTTGTCCATTGTCGTGCGTTAACTTTTGAACATTTTCAACTTCTTCTCTAGAACCGCTCAACCAATTTCAACCAATTTTGGCATATAGTATCTTTTGGTAAAGGGAAACAAAATTTTGTGAATTTCATGGTCCCTGGGACCCCAGGGGTGGGGCTAAAACAACAAAAAATGATGCAATCTTGAAAAATCTTCTGGACATCAAGCAGTCAAACTGTTGACATGATTGTAATAAACATTGGACCTTCTACCTAAATTGTAAAATTCATGGCCCCAGGATCAAGGGTTCTGGTGCTAGGGCGGGGCTATATAGATCATATAGTAAAAGTGCATTATTTCTTTGAAAATCTTCTTCTCTTTTCCTGGGTATTATTTATACAAACTAAGTGCATGGTTATGACAAGCAATGACACCTTTTTCAAAATTGTGAAATTCATGGCCCCTGGGTTAGGGGTTCTGGTGTTAGGGCGGGGCTCTATTGATTATATAGTGAAAATGCATTAATTCTTTGAAAATCTTCTCTGCTCCTGGGTATTATTTAAACAAACTAAGTGCATGATAATGGCACATAAGGATGATTTTTCCAAAATTGTGAAATTCATGGCCCCAGGGTCAGGGATTCTGGTGTTAGAGTGGGGCTCTATTGATTATATAGTGAAAATGCATTAATTCTTTGAAAATCTTCTTCTCTGCTTATGGATATTATATAAACAAACTAAGTGCATGGTTATGATAAGCATTGATGCCTTTTCAAAAATTGTGAAATTCATGGCCCCAGGGTCAGGGGTTCTGGTGCTAGGGCGGGGCTATATAGATCATATAGTGAAAGTGCATTATTTTTTTGAAAAATCTTCTTCTCTAGTCTCTACTCCTGTGTATTATTGAAACAAATTGAATACTTTGTTATGATAAGCAAGGGTGACTCTACCAAAATTGTGAAATTCATGGCCCCAGGGTCAGGGGCTCTGATGCTGGGGGGTTGTGGGGGGAGGGGGTCTCTATTGATAATATAGTGAATCTGTAGTAAAAATGCATTATTTCTTTGAAAATCTTCTCTGCACCTGGGCATATCAGAGGCAAAAATAGTAAAAGTTTTAATAAAGATTTTTGAACATCTGACCATTTGGTCAAGTGTTCTGGTCATGGCAAGGGCTCTATTAATTTGTATTCAACTGAGAGGAGTAATTTCCCTTTGCCATTTACTTTTGATAATTGTTCACTGTAAATAATGTACTTGAAAGGTTAATAGAATAGGAGAATTATGCAAGATTTTTTATTGTAAAATACAAAAAGTACTTTTATATTTTAAATGATCAGGTAGACTTGTAAGTAATAGATAAATAAAAATGAGACAAAAATAACTTGTCTTATTCAATGTTCATCAAAGACCAAGAGAGTCCAATATAAGAGATTTCATCAAGGAATTAAAATAGTACAGAATCACTGATAATTTGTTAATAGCGATTCTCTGTAACCACTTTAACTTCTTTGCCACGCATGGTCACTGATTTTGATGAAACTTTGCACATTATTACAACTTGACACCAGAAACATATATCAAATAAAATTTCGTTGCTATGTGTCTTGGTTGCCATGGCAACAGCCAGAAAAGTTGAAAAAAATTGAGATTTTCAGCTACTTTAAATCTTTATTAAGCTTTAATAAAGACTAAGAAAAACAAACAAACCATTCTCACAAAAATATGACACCTTGTTGCCACTTATGCTATAAAGAAACTATTTAGAATTTATCTCTAAGTAAGTGGTAACCATGGGTACATTTGGAATACATTTTAGATGCTGAAAAATGCTGAAAAACGCTCTATAGTCACAAATGATTGATCTTCCATGATCAAACTCAATCAACAACGTAAGAAAAACAATGAAAAATATTTGACCTCGTGTAATTAGGTATTGGCAATATTATTCTAAAAATAACTTTCATGGTTGCCATGGTAACACAGTGTCACCATGCAAAATCTGTTGCTATGATCGGGTTAATGCTACTATCGTGAGAAAAAACAATAAAATTCATGACTGGCACATATGCATTCTTAGGACCTTGCAACACCAAAAACAAAAGAAAAAAATTGAGATTAATTGTTACTTTGCAGTGTAACCATGGAAACAACATACTAGTTGTTTAAAGTGATATTTTTTTTGCTGCTTTAGGAATTTACTAACCTTTTAATCAAGAAAAATATTATTTGAATCACCTTGAATAGTACTTATCTCGTAGAACTAAAGTTGAATATCATATATTGATAAAGGTTGTTGAAAAATACAACATTGTTGCTATGGTTACCAAGAAGAGAAAATGTTCGATTTTGTTAATTTTTGTCAATATTAGACCCTATGTGCCAGCTTTTTGCATCCAGTTAGAGATTGGGTGATAGTCAAAATTGAAAGTCAGGTTAGTTGTTCACATATATCAATCATGAAAGTTTTTGGAATCTACATACAACGGTACGTATCGAAGGAAACAGAGTATTTTTCAGATTTTTATGCATGTTTTTTCGC